TCAGCTCCCCCAGAAGCACCTGCATCCTCGTGCTCTAAATTCCCAGCCCTGCCTAGGCTTCCCTCCCTCCCCTCTGAAGACAGCCACCACCTGCTGCTTGGCGCAGATCCCTCTCTTCGGCTACATCCTCTCCACTCTCCCCCCAACTCCTACACAATCCCTGCCCCAAACAGTTTCCTGCAGTTTCCCATCTGATCAGTTTCTTCGGAAGGATAATTATCCATGGAAGGAGGGGGCAGAAAATTCCCAGAGCCGAGAACACTGGGGAAAAAGCTTCATCTAGTCCCTTCTCCATCAGTCAGGAGAGCCCTTATCCTAAACACAGGCCAGTCATGGCCATGCCTCCTCCAGAACCTCTGCAGTTCCCTCATCTACAGGAAAGAGCCTACACCCCTCTGCATTGAATCCAAGGCCCTCTTGATCTGTTCTAACTTAGGTTTGGGCCTTGTTGCCACTCCATCGTAAGTGGTAGTGCCAGATGGAGGCCCATCTGCCCTCAGGGCCCACCTGCAATGTGCTGTGTCCCTGAAGCACTTCAGCCCGCCTTGCGTTTTAGCTGTTTACATGTCTGTCTCCCACACACAAGTGTCAGCGCCAGTGCTTCCAGGGTGGGAACCACCAGCCGCGCAGCTGTGTCTGCTGCATGGTAGGTGCTCAGAGGCAGGCTGAAAAGAAAGTGGGACAGGCAGGAGGCTACCTCACCTATGCAGAAGGAATGATGTGGGGAAAAGGACCACTTATATCATTGCAGGAGAACCTGGACTAGAGGTCGGGAGCCAAGTTCAATGCAGCTCTGTGGTCCCTGAGCACATCACTTCCGCCTTGGCCTCTGCTTCCTCTGTGAGCTGGGGGGGTTGGGCCGGGCTCTGACATCATGTCAGATATTTAGAAGCCCTTACTGCTAGGTGCTCGCCAGAGTATTCTCATTTAATCTCCACACCTCTGCACATGGGGACCACACAGCCGCAAGTGGGAAGCAGGGTGGGGAGCACGGATTTCAGTCCAGGCCTTTTGATTCCCTAACCCCTTATCTTTTCCTCCTGGACTCCTGCAGTCTCTAGGATCCCTCCCAGTGCTAAAGTCTGGTTCTGCTTCTAGGTCTGCCCTTTCCTGACCTGACAACTCCCCAGGCTAGGACCATAGGGTTCAGCTGGGAATAGTCATGTCTAGCGCTGGTGCTCAGCAATGCCACGTCTCCCACATGACAGGTCTGGTGACTGTCCGCCTGTAGGCGCTGAGGCTGGGCAAGGGAGGGGTGGGCGGCAGGAGTCCAGCAGAGCCTGGTGCCCACTCAGCCCCTCCCTTCCCCACATGCCCCCATTCCACACCCACTCCACTCCAACGCCCTGCTTGCCCCTCCTAGGCTGCAGCTTCCATCCCACTCCTGGCTTGGCCAGAGGTGCGTGTTGGGAAGATTTACTCTGTTGCCCCCATAGACCCAAGCCAAGCTGCTGGTAGGCAGGGCATTCTGGGGCCAGCCCAGAGCGTGAGCCGACACTACTGCACTCCCAGGAGGTCAGCACATCTCTCCCCAGGTCAGACCGTGTCATGCTACTCAGGAGCCTTTGATGGCACCACACAGCACCATGAATCCTAGCCCCAGGCCCATGGGCCTGGCATGATCTGGCCCCTGCCCTCCTCATATTCTCACACCACGCTTCCCTTCTTCCCCTGCACTCCAGGTTCCTCAAACACAGCCTCCTCAGGGACCCTGGTCTTTGGAAGATGGGCTCTTCTTTTCCTTTCTAGTCTCAGCTCAGACACCAGCTCCTTAGAGAACCCTTACTGGCCATCCAGCAGCCCCACCTCTCCCTCATGTCTGCCTTCTTCAGGACACTTACCACTGCCTGACACTGCTGTGTCCACGTCCAATGCTCCATGCTGGCATGGGAGCCCCCTGACATCAGGAGCCTCTTCTGTCTTGTTCCTGGCTGTGTCCTCAGATCCAGAATAGTGTCTGACATGGAGGGAGAGGCAGCTGGTGGGGCATGTGCTGCATGTTAGACTGGACAGTCAAGAAGGCCTCTCTGAAGAGATGACGTATGATCTGGGACCTGAAGGAGAGCGCCAGTGCGTGGCAGTAAATGGGCAGTGCTTCAGGTTGGGGAACGAGCAAGTGCCACAGCTGTATGAAGGAACGGGCCTGGCAAGGCAGATATGCGTGAAGGACACAGGAAGGCCGTTGTGACTGGAACAGGGGAAAGGGCAGTGGGGCATGAAGTGCAGAAAGGGGTGGGCTATGCTTTCCTTGCATTTTCTCCCAAGTTCATCAGGAAGCATTTGAAAGATTTTCAGCACGGGAATGCCATGCTCTGGTTTACAGGTCTCACAGTTCCCTGTGGCTGCTCTGTGGAGAGCTGCCTGCAGGCAGACAGGAGTGGAGCAGGAGACCATTCAGGAGGCCCGGGAGTCACCAAGGTTAGAGATGCTCGTAGTGGAGATGGAGTGAAGGGGCAAGCCTTTGACAGGTGTGGTTGTGTTTGCCATCAGTCTGAGAAGCCCTGGCCAAGCCTACACCCCTCTACAGTTCCACATGCTTCATCTAGCCCCGCCCACCTACCCAGTCGTATTTCTCAATGACTCTTCACCCAGACTCTTCCTGCAACTGGCTGGAGCCCCCTGCCCCCCACACAGGTACCTGCCCATACCCAGTGCTCAGAGCCTGCAAAGAGCCTTGGCTGGTGTCATGGCCCTTGCCTGATCGGTCACCTTCCCTCCCTCTTAGGAGGGTTTGGTGAAGGTGTCTGCACAAAGGTCTCTGCTCTGCGCTCATTCCAGCTGTATTTCTCCCCTCCCTAAAGGTCTCCTGTGCTTTGAGGCAACAGCACAGCAATCATCAAGCATATAATTATTCCCTGTTACACTTTCCTAGAGTAGCTGTAAGCTAAATAAAGCTAGATACCATGGCTCGCACCCTTCGGGGCTGTGCCATAGTGCAGAAGACAACGATGCAGTATGCAAAGCCCTTCGCACAAAGCCAGGCACTGCAGGGACTCAGTAAGTGATAGGTAGCGCTGTCCTCACCGCCTATACCAGGGCAACAGCCATCACAGGTGCTCACTGCTCCACAGGTGTGGTTAGCTTCTCTGCCCAACCAAGCAGGTGAGTGAGGGGTGAGGTGAAAGGGTTGGAAACATCCCAATGGGTTTCAGAAGCAAAGGTCAATGGTTCTGCATGATCTATGCCTCTGTATCATTCATGTCTCTGTGCCCTTTTCCAGTTCTCCCCTCTATGTGAGCAAAGCACATTCATTCATTCTTTTTTTTTTTTTTTTTTTTATAACAAGGTTTCACTCTGTTGCCCAGGCTGCAGTGCAGTAGCATGATCTTGGTTCACAGCAACCTTTGCCTCCTGGGTTCAAGCCATTCTCCTGCCTCAGCCTCCCAATTAGCTGGGATTACACACTTGCCCCAACATACCTGGCTAATTTTTGTGTTTTCAGCAGAGATGGGCTTTCACCATGTTGGCCAGGCTGGTCTGGAACTCCTGACCTCAAGTGATCCACCCACCTCAGCCTCCCAAAGGGCTGGGATTACAGGTGTGAGCTGCTGCGCTTAGCCAAAACACTCATTCTTAATCTTCAGGACCCAGCTCAAAGCTCTGGGAAGCCTTCCCTGACCCACTCACTTCCACCCCTCCCTCCCATGCCCCCACAGCTCTGCAGGCCCCTGCTGCAACACTTCACAGTACATACAAGTGCCTGTTTACATGCCAGCCTCTCCCTTGAGGCTGGGATTATATTTATCCATCTTTCCATCTTCAGTACAGTATTTATCAGCATGAATCCATTTACTGAACATGTGTCTCCCCACCTCCCAACTAAAGAACAAGCTCAGATAATTCAGCTCATGGTCTCATTTGCACCCCTAACCTGAGTAATCAGCTCACCCTAATGCTCTCCAGTCCCTATACCTAAAACCATCCTCCAGGACTTGACCCCACACTCACCTCTTCCCTTAAGGCTCCAGGAATAGTAGCAACTCCCATTACTGAGCACTTACAATGTGCTCAGGGCTTTACAGACACCACCCCCTTTAGACTGGGGAAACTGAGGCTTGGACAGGGTGATGTAGCTTAAAAAGGGCTCACCTTCTCCCCTTAATATTGGCATCGCTCACCTGGCACTTATCATAGCTGGGCCGATTTTTTTTTAAGACAGGGTTTCATGGCCGGGCGCGGTGGCTCACGCCTGTAAATCCCAGCACTTTGGGAGGCTGAGGCGGGTGGATCACGAGGTCTAGAGATCGAGACCATCCTGGTCAACACGGTGAAACCCTGTCTCTACTAAAAATACAAAAAATCAGCTGGGCATGGTGGCACATGCCTGTAATCCCAGCTACTCAGGAGGCTGGGGCAGGAGAATTGCCTGAACCCAGGAGGCGGAGGTTGCGGTGAGCCGAGATTGCGCCATTGCACTCCAGCCTGGGTAACAAGAGCGAAACTCCGTCTCAAAAAAAAAAAAAAAAGACAGGGTTTCACCATGTTGGTCAGGCTGGTCTCACGTAAACTCCTGGCCTCAGGTGATCCACCTGCCTCAGCCTCCCAAAATGCTAGGATTACACGCGTGAGCCACCGCACCCGGCAGCTGGGCCTATTTTTAAAACCATCATCTGTTCTGCAAAACTGAGTCTTTTATAGCTACACATCAAGTTGTCATACAAAATCACACTTTGCTCATTAAACGTCTCAGGCGATCAGTCTTGCTACTCCAGCTAGGTGGGGTAACATAACATAAAGTTATGTAGGAGAAATAGCACAGGACTTGGAAGGGGAAGCACTGGAGTCCGGCCTCAGCTGTGCCACAGTCAGGCTATATGACACTAGGCAGGTCACCTCTACCTCTGGGCCAGGCGTGGCAGCTCATGCCTATAATCCCAGCACTTTGGGAGGCTGAGGTGGGTGAATCACTTGAGGTCAGGAGTTCAAAACCAGCCTGGCCAATATGACAAAACTCCATCTCTACTAAAAATACAAAAATTAGCCAGGCATTGTGGCACAAGCCTGTAATCCCAGCTGCTCTGGAGGCTGAAACAGGAGAATCGCTTGAAGCAAGGAGTTGAAGTTGCAGTCAACCAAGATTGTGCCACTGCATTCCAGTCTGGGTCACAGAGTGAGCCTCCATCTCAAAATAAAAAATTCAAAAAGGTTTTTTTAAAAACAAGATAAGTGACTTGCCCAAGGTCACCGTGTTACAAAGTAGTGGAACTGGGATTTGAACCCAGGTCTGTCAGGCTGCAAAGCTTGTGTTTCTAACCAGCATGCCTGTGGACATGTTTCCAAAAGGAACTGCTCTGGGCCACTCTTCTGCAATCCAGAGTTTCTGCCCCAAGTAGAAGATTCTGGCTGTGTCCACTAAGAGTTCATTAAAGTTTCTCATCTAAATGCCACACATACTTCAAGGCCTAGCTCAGTGATCACTTACTTGCACAGCCTCCTGGGATCTTCCCAGGTACGGAGTTCTCTCTCCCACCTCTAAACTCCCATAGAATTCCATATGCACTTCAAATCACACCCACTTCCTACTGTCTGACTGCCCTGCATCTGTACTGCATTTTTCAGACAAGTCCTTGAGTTCAGTAAGAGAAGCAGTTCTCATGCATCTCTGCACCTTCTGCCAGCCAGGCAGACGGGACTCAATCAGGGAAGGAGGTTGAGTAGGGTGCCTGCTCCCCCTCCCCTATCTTGCTGTAACCTGAGTCTTAGGCTTTGCCCAGCTAGGTGAGTTGGCCCTGCCTCATGCTGGCATGATGCCTACCTGGTACAGCATCCAGATTCCTGTGGGCCCTGGCCCACAACTGGGGAGATAAGATCTTATTCCCTGGCTTGATGGCAAAGATGCTATAAAAAGCACAGCACCCAAGCTCGACATTGGCTTGTGACGGACTAAACGACCTGAGGGATTCAATGAATGAAGGGAGAAGCCTCTGGGCTGGCTCAAAGGTCCTAAGACCTGTACTTGGCTCCCCTGTAAGGACCAGTGTAAGGACCAATGGTTTCGCTGCCAAGGACAGCTCCCTAATAGATACCCCAGGAGGAGGCTGCCCTTCTTTAGGCTTAAAGGGTCCACTGGAAAAACTGAGATTTGCCAGTGCTACCAATATCCAAGCCAAAAACCACAGCCCCTCCTCTTGGTCCACTGTCCGGGTCTTATGGCCTAGAGACTCCTGAGTTAGTTAACAGAGCAGGGAAGAGGCCTGCCTCTGCCATTAATTCATGTGTGGCCTGGGGCCAATCCTCTCTGGGTCTCAACTGGAAAAAGAAAGAAGTGGATCAAAAGGTCTTCATTTCCCCTTTGGGCCTCGGGCTTACAAGCTATGATAAGGATCCTTTCCATCTCTAACATTCTAGAATTAGAATATTCTATACTTTCACTCCCAGAAGCAGAGTGAGAACAGAGAACAGGGACCTTCAGTCCAGAAAACAGCAGAGGTCAGTCAGGGCTTCCTAGCTGCATCCTCAAAGCCTGTCCACCTTCAGAAGCTTTCTCTTGTGTCTGCTGCCTCAAAGGTGGCTGCTTCCCTGCTAGCAGAGCCTCAGAGGTGTGCTTGGGCCCTGGCTGCTTTAGGGAAATGGGCAGGAGGCCTGAGTCACCTACTGGGGTGTGAGCTGGGCTCACCATGGCAACCCAGCAGACCCAAAGGGCATAAAGAAGCCAGTGCCTTCCCACCTGCACAGTGTAGGTGGAACATGCTGCATCTGCCTTCATTTCCAACCCAGAAAAGTTCCTCTCTGCTTTTGTTTTTTGAGATGGAGTTGTGCTCTAGTTGCCCAGGCTGGAGTGCAATGGTGAGATCCCGGCTCACTGCAATCTCCACCTCCCAGGTTGCAGCGATTCTCCTGCCTCAGCCTCCCAGTAGCTGGGATTACAGGTATGTGCTACCACACCTAGCTAATTTTGTATTTTTAGTAGAGATGGGGGATTCTCCATGTTGGTCAAGCTGGTCTTGAAATCCTGACCTCAGGTGATCCGCCTGCCTCGGCCTCCCAAAGGGCTGGGATTACAGGCATGAGCTGCTGCGCCCAGCCAATTCCTCTCTACTTTAAGGCTCATTTTCCCTTCCCTTCTTACAGGACACAGCTTACTCACTCTGGGGTCCTTCTCCTTGCCTGAAAAAAATCTGCAGTCCCCTGGGCAAACCCCACTCATCCCAGAATTAAGTACCACTTCCTCCAAGGATTCACTCCAGACCAGTTAGTCCTTTTCCCTTCTTCAAATCCCCACAGCACAAAAGGCAGAAGCTCTTAACCTTCAGAATCTGTGGTGTACACACTGACAATCAACTGTGTTAAAAAAAAAAAAAAAATCTGAGTCTACTATGGGCCTTCTCTCCTCGATAAAATCACACATATACAACTGTCTGCAGACTATTTTGGGAGTTCCACAAACTTCATCATGGACTCGGAAACAATCTTAGAAACCTAGATCCTAAAAGAACATATCATCCAGTCCATCCTCTCAACTAACCCAGAATCCCTTAGCAACCTCCCTGAATGATGTTCCTCTTCTACCCCTGGCCCACCTCTCAAGGCCACCTCCTTCAAGAAGCTCCCCTCAGCTCTCCTCCTCTCCCGATTCCCCCAAGCATCCCCGCCTGAACCACACAATTCCCCACCTGTGCTTTGTCTCTCATATGTTGTCTCACTTCCCCTACAAGAGAGCTGGCTCCCTGTGGGCTCATTTCTTCAACCTTGTAATGACTGCCCTTCCCACAGGACAACCCCAGAAAGCCCTTCCAAATGAAATAGACAGATAGGGAAACTAAGGCCCAGGAAGGCAAACATGGCTTAGCAAAGGGCAATATGCAAGAAAGAAGCGAGCTAGGACTAGGATCCAGGTTCCCAGTTCCCAGCCTAGAGCTCTTTTCTTTTACACAATGGCTTTAAGAAAACTCAATGTGCCCGGCGTGCACACACACTCACATGCTCAATATATGCATGGCGAATTTCTAAAAAGATGGACAAGACAGTTAACAGTGGTAACCACTGGAATGTATGACAGTGTGGGTGGTCAGAAGTGATGAGGGGGACTTTTCCTTTTCACCTCAATACCTTCTGTACTGTTGGGTTTTATTTTTGTTGTCTTGGGGTTTGTTTTGTTTTTACCATTAACATGTTTTACATGTTTTATTTATTCATATTATAAAAATAAATCTGCCATAGAAAGGAGACTCGGGCCCAGCCCACCCATTCCTAACACACATAAAAGCAAAGAGAAGCCATAAGTAAACCCGTCCAGGTACAACTATAAATTAACAAGATTGCCTTCTTGCATGGTTTACGGCCACTGGTCTCATTAATTCACAGTCACAGTGCAGTTTATGGCTTGAGGAATCTTCCCAGGAAAAGCTTAATTCAATTAGGGCTCTCGGCAGCTCCCCAAGGAAGCTCTGGTATCTTGCTTTTACTTACACAAATTGAGGGCAGACCAAACAGATCCAGATCTTCCCAGAGAGACCCCGCCCAGCCCAGAGAGGATGCCCTTGCAGACCCCACATTAGAGCCATGCTAGGGAGGTAGCCACGGCAGTACCACTTAAAACACTGGCTGGCGCCTAAAGCATCATTCTGTGAATGTCACTCCCAGCAAGCTCAGTTAAACTCCCTCGCTTGGCATTCAGTCTGGTGCCAATGAGCCTCTGCAACCTTTGCTTTCCCTTCTCTCTGAGCAGTCAAACTGGTTTCTTGTCTGCCCCAGGGCTTTGCAGAGATCCTATCATTACACTGGAGTCAATCACATATTCATTCATTTATTCCTTCCTCAAATATTTATGAATCCCTTACTCTGTGCCAGGCACAGATAAGAAGGCGAACAGGCTGGGCGTGGTGGCTCACACCAATTATCCCAGCAATTTGGGAGGGTGAGGTGGGCAGTTCATCTGAGGTCAGGAGTTTGAGACCAGATTGGCCAACATAGTAAAAAAATTTTAGTTTCTACTAAAAATACAAAAGATTAGCTGGGCGTGGTGATGCGTGCCAGTAATCCCAGCTACTTAGGAGGCTGGGGCAGGAGAACTGCCTGAACCTGGGAAGCAGAGGTTGCAGTGAGCTGAGATTGCACCACTGCACTCCAGCACTCCAACCCAAGTGATATAGCCAAGATCCCATCACAAAAAAAAAAAAAAAGAAGAAAGAAAGAAAGTGAAAAACAAAGGCCCTGTCCTCAAGAGGCTTAGATTCTTATGGGAAACGGTCCTAAGTATAGCCTGTTTATCTAATTCCTTTCTATCCTTCAAACATCAGATTCATGTTATATCTCCTTTGGGAGGTCTTCTCTAAACACCCCAGTCCTCAGGGACTGCTCGCTCCCTCTGCACTTTGCCTCTGCCAGGAGTCTGCCCAGCCCTGGCAGGCTGGAAGCTCCTAAAGAGCCGAACCTGGGTTTACTCTTCTTTGTTCCCTATGGCCAAATGCTAAATGCCTGCTGGCTGATTTCAGCTGACCTGCCTCTTCCACCCAGGATCTTAGGAAGCTGCTCTTGGTACTGGCTGGCTGGTGCAAAGACGCACACTCTTCCAACTTCACTTGGCATATGGCAAATGCTATGCAAGTGTTAGCTATTTATTAGTTTAGTGAACTTGTGGGCTCTAACACAAAACTGTGACATCACTCCTCTGCCTTCTGTGGCCTGGTCTCAAATAGGCTCAACATTGTGGAAAGGCCAGTCTGGACTTAGGGGTAAGTACTCCCCAAGGGACAAGGAAGGGGGCCTGGGAAGGAACAGAGTTTCTCATCCTGAGTCTTAGTTAGAGCTGCTTAAGGACAGATCTTTTCAGGAAAGAACTTGCTGGGGTAATTTGGGGGAGCTCCAGATTCTCGGCAAGTAGTATAAGAACCCAGGGCTCAGGTCTAGCCTAATAGATCTCCAAACCGGCCCTGTATATTAGATGAGCTTTAGGGGTAAGAAAATGAAGTCAGCACTATCCCAGGGAAGGAGGGCAGCCCACTGATCTAGGCCCAACCCAAAGCTTAGTTCAGTTAAAATTAGATTAGCCCATAAGATTAAAATACCCACATATAATCACGGGCTGCTTTAAAGTATCAGTTGATGTTTATCGGCATCTAAAGAGATGGTTTGGCCCAGTGCAGTGTGTGCAGACAACCTTGGGGAGACATGTCTGACTCAGACGTTTGCAGGGGGAGCGAGTACTGCAAAATGAGGCCCACAGAAGCGATGGATGACTCAGGAATAACCCAGGTCCTGGCTTTGCTGAGCAAGCCTTCTCTCCCTGCCTCAGGAGGAAAGGGGGCAGGTGGAAGAGGTTAATGAGGAGGAAAGGGGGCTGTGTATGGGCTGGCATTCCCAGAGGGAGCCTCAGGCCATCAGCTCCAGTTCCCTGTCGGTTCCTGTCTTTTTCTGCATGCTGCCATCTCCAAGAAAGGTTATTTGCTTGGGGGAGGCTTTGAAGGGGGTCAGCTTTTTCCCCAAACCCAAGAAGTGATCCACAGAAAGCAGCCAAAGCTCAAAATACTAAAGCCTTTGATCTTCCCAATTCAAAGTGATTATAGGAAAAATTAAATTTCTAAACTGAAAAGGCCCTTGGAATCAGGGCATGAGGATGAAAAGAACGTAGGTGCTGAAGTCAGACAGATCTGGGCTTAAACCTCAATGTTTTCCAGCTGTGTGAATACCTTTCACAGCCTCTAAACTAGGATATGAATAAGTGACAGCTTAGCTGGGTGTGGTGGCCCGTGCCTGTGTTCCCAAATACTCGGAAGGCTGAAGTTGGGGGACTGCCTGAGCCTGGGAGGTTGAAGCTGCCATGAGCCATGATTGCACCACTGCACTCCAGCTTGAGAGGCAGACAAAATCCCATCTCAAAAATACATAAAATAAAAAATTAATAAGTGGCAGCTAATATAATTAACAAGTATTTAATAAAAATATCACCAATTATCAGCCAGGCGCAGTGGCTCACACCTGTAATCACAGCACTTTGGGAGGCTGAGGTGGGTGGATTGCCTGAGGTCAGAAGTTTGAGACCAGCCTGGCCAACATGGCAAAACCTCGACCCCACTAAAAATACAAAAATTAGGCCAGGCGTGGTGGCTGATGCCTGTAATCCCAGCACTTTAGGAGGCTGAGGCAGGAGGATCACCTGAGACCAAGAGTTCGAGACCAGCCTGGCCAACATGGTGAAACCCCATCTCTGCTTAAAAAAAAAAAAAAAAAAAATTAGCCAGGCATGATAGCGGGTACCTGTAATTCCAGTTACTCAGGAGGCTGAAGCAGAAGAATCTCTTGAATATGAGAGAAGGAGGTTGCAGTGAGCCAAGATCGCACCACTGCACTCCAGCCTGGGTGACAGAGTGAGACTCTGTCTCAAAAAAATAAAAATAAAAATAAAAATAAAATAATAGGGAGCTAGGGGTGACAGCTCATGCCTGTAATCCCAGCTACTCAGGAAACTAAGGTAAGAGGGTCATTTGAGGCTAGGGATTTAAGACCAGCCTGGACAACAACGTTGCAAGACCCCATTGCAAAAAAAAAAAAAAAAAAAAAATCTAAAAATTAAATATCTATATTATGAATTAGGAAACAGGGGCTCAGGCTGGGTATGGTGGCTCACACCTGTAATCCCAGCACTTTGGGAGGCCAAGGTAGGCAGATCACCTGAGGTCAGGAGTTCAAGACCAGCCTGATGAACATGGCAAACCCCATCCCTACTAAAAATACAAAATAATCTGGGTGTAGTGGCACATGCCTATAGTCCCTGCTACTCGGGAGGCTGAGGTAGGAGAATTGCTTGAACCCAAGAGGCAGAGGTTGCAGTGAGCTGAGATTGTGCCACTGCATTCCAGCCTGGGCAACAAGAGCAAAACTCCATCTCAAAAAAAAGAAAACAGGCTCAGAGAGGTTGTGCCTTGCCTAAAGTCACGCAGCTGGGCAGCAGAGAGCTGAGACTAGATTTCAGGTCTCTTGACCTTCCACCCCATCCTTCATATTTTCCATTGTAATCACTTCTCTGCCTCTCCTTTTCTCTCCCAGAGGGCATACAACATTTTGGGGGAAAGGACAAGTCCACCATTTCAAAGATTTGCCGCTCCACAGACAAGGGCTATGAGAATGACAGTCCCCAGTGCCACTCTGGCCCTCATCCTCCTTCATGCAAATACAGGTATGTTCAAGGCGTAGAAAAGAACCTGGAGCTGAGCCAAAGGCTATCAGGGCTCCAGACCACCCGGACCCTTCAGGCCTTTCTTCCTACAGGAGGAACTGGTGTCCCTCGTGACAATCACCCAGGTTACCAACGTGGATGTATCTGCTCATTTACTCCCCTCAAAGGCCCTTTAAATCTCTCATCCTGCCGGATGCGGGTGGCTCACACCTGTAATCTGAGCACTTTGGGAGGCTGGGGTGAGTGGATCACGAGGTCAGTAGTTCAAGACCAACCTGGTCAAGATGGTGAAACCTCGTCTTACTAAAAATACAAAAAAATTAGCTGTAATCTTAGCTACTCTGGGGCTGAGGCAGAGAAGTGCTTGAACCTGGGAGGCAGAGGTTGCAGTGAGCTGAGATTGTGCAACTGCACTCCAGCCTGGGCGACAGAGTGAGACTCCATCTCAAAAAATAAAAATAAAAATAAATAATAAAATAAATCTCTCTCACTCCCCTTGATCCAACAAGAACCCAGGATGTTGGCCTGCCAGGAGAAAGTTTGGCCTTGAGTGATTAGTCTCAGGCTTTCTAAATGACCTCAGGCAGGTCACAACCAAAGGCTCAGTATCCTTAGATGTAAAATGATCAATATCACATGCTGTTCTAACCCACAGGGCAACTAAGGAGATCTAACTTAAATATTGTACACGAAAGTGCTTTGGAAACACATTTCAGTACTAATGAGAAATACTATTAAACTCCTCCCACCTTGTAGAGCTAAACAAAGTTGTGCCACCTGCTCCTAACAGAAGCTGCCTCAGGGGATTCTGCTGGGCCCTGAGGGTAACCAAAAGCAGTCTGTCACCTTTCCTGCTCTGACGCAGGAGGTGGTAAGGTCAGTCACCCCTTGTGGCTAAAGGAAACCACCCTTTTTTTTTTTTTTTTTTTTTTTG